GGTAAAGTAAGTACTAAGGGTTAGGTAGGACGGATGGAATAGACCGGTCAAGGTATAGTGTTGAATAAAGGGGATGTGCTTGTTTTCTTTTGCCAGGGAACTTAAAAAGAAGAGGCTGTAAAGATGCCTGAGACTGGCGGCGCATCAGTTGTTCCCAAGAAGGGCCTGACACTCGATGACCTCATCGCGGCCATCGACCGACATGAAAGGAACCCGAACAACATCCCAAAGGTTGATACTTTCCATTTCTGTGGGGAGAGAGTCTCAGAATGGCTAGAGCGGGTGGAACAAGCTTTGGTCGGGCGGCCGAATGTTGTAAAGTTTCAACGCATCCTTCAGTATGCCCTTCATAGCTACCATCAGGAGGTGAAGAAAGTCATAGATGCGGCTCAAGGTAGCTGGGAGAGGTTCAAGGAGTGGATGCAGAGGAAATACCGCCTGGGAGACGGGTTGTTGACTACCACGGACCTTGAAGCGATAAACAAAGAGGATTTTACGACTATATGGGCCTTTGTTCAAGAATTTAAGAAGAGGGCGCGGAAGGTCCATTGGATTTCGGATGAAGCACAGTGCGCCATCTTCCTGGGGCTACTCACAGCATCGGAGGCCGTCGAATTGACGAGACATGGAGGAGGTAGCACTAAGCTCACCTGGGCCACCATTGACAGAGGGGTGAAAGTTGGGTGTTTGGACCAGGTGGAACAACGTCAGGTACGCCTGCAAAGACAGAAAAGAAAGGAAAGAGATGCGACCGCTTCTGGGACCCCAGAAGTAACAAGGATTGTTACAGACGTATTGGCACAGTTAGGGTATGCGACAAAGCCGGTGGTGCAAAGGAGGGTGGTGACGGCTGTTAAAGTAAAAGAGTCAGTGATAGAGGAGGCTGGTCAGGAGGAGCTCTGGGAAGAGGAAGAGCCCGTGTCGCAGCACCTGACGAAGGTCCAGCGCAAAGTGCGTAATTTGGCGCAGGGCGGACAGGGATCAGGAAAAGCGCAGGCGCATCAGGCCCAGGTAGCAGCCCCTTTAAATATGGCGGCTCCATCATCTACTACGGGCCCCTCGCAAGGTGGGGCGCCCTCCTATGGACAGTGGCCTTGGCCGGTGATCAACGCAATTGTGCCATGAGGAAGCACGCCGCCAGTAGCCGGACCACAAACGAGTATGTCACCACCCATCTACCCCGTGGCCCAGGCCCAACCTGTGGCCCCGCCACCGTCACCTGATCCCAGTTCACAGGGCAGTGTTGTAGGAGGTGGGAACCAGGGGCAGGGCAATCAAGGCAGTGAAGGGAGGGGTGGAGGAAAGGGGCGAGGCAGGAATGGCGGCGGAAGAGGAAGGCAATGGAATGGCTAAGGCCAGGGGTACCAAGGCCAAGGGAGTCAAGGTCAGGGGTACCAAGGCCAAGGGAGTCAAGGCCAGGGGTACCAAGGCCAGGGCTATCAAGGCCGGGGATATCAGGGAAGTCAGGGGTATGGAAGACCCCGCTTTGACTGGAGGACGGCCATCTGTCAACATTGTGACCAGCAGGGCCACACTATAAGGTTCTGTAATATAAGACGGGAAGACGAGAGAAGCGGACTGATTTCCTCTACTATGGATGGGAATATCTACGATCAGTTTGGGGAGGCCATTGACAGAAGGCTTGGAAGAGTGAGGGCTGAAGCCCAACGAAGAGCGGCAGCTGGGCCACCACCCCCTACCATGTTCAGGCTATGGCAGGAAAAGGAGAAACCACCGTTTGGGGTGGAAGAAGTGGGGAGCGATGAGAAAGTGACTCAAGGGCTGCGAGGAGGAAGTGAGACGGAAGAGACCATAATCATTGAGTCAGATAACGGGAATGAGGAGGAAAGAACGGAGCCTCTGTCCGTCGTATTTGAGAAGATGGAGGACTTGCTGGATAAGATGGGGAGGTACCAACAGGAGTTGGTATCGTGCCCTCAACCAGGAATGAGGGGGAGACCCCTCACTCCGCAGGCCCGGCTGGCACAGGCAGCGCGAACGAGAAATCAAGCCAAGGCCAGTACTAGCCAAGAGCCTCCAAGGGGGGAACACAAACCAGGGAGAAGGAAAGAGGTTGTGGAAGTAGAGGACGACGATGATGAAGAGGAAGAGGACGAGAGGCTGCGCAGAGAAGAGGATCAGAAAGCGGAGCAGCGGGCAAGGAAGAAGGGAACCAGGGGAGAGGCCGAACCGGTCATACATGACGGACCGCCCAAAAAGAAGAAATACGCGGTCCGGTTAGAAGAGGGATTTGATATAGAGAAGGTGATTGACCGACTGCTGGAAGGGCATAATGACCTCATGACCCTGAAGGAAATCCTAGCGTCAGCCCCGCGACTCCGCGATGAACTAAAGGGGAGGTTATCATGGTGCTTGGTGCCCAATCTCCATCCGGGTACGATCCTGCCCAAGGAGGCAGAGTGGGCAGAGTCAGGTACGAAGATGGACTGGAAGTGCGTAGCCTGCGGTACGGTGAATTTGATGGTGAAGGGTTCCAAGTGCGCAGCAATGGTGGACACCGGGGCAAAGATGAACATTATTCGGGAGGCGGACGCGATCAGATTCGGACTGGATATAGACCGTTCCGACTGCGGTATTCTGCATGGAGCTAGCTGTAAGGCCATGTTTTGCGGGACAGCCTCGAATGTGCTCGTCGAGGTTGGAAAGGTGAAGGTCAGGG